GGGATCTTCAGTTTCATCTGCCACTTCCTTTCTTGGGGGGGGGGCTGATCTACTCTGGTTATTCATATTACCAGAGCTTTTGCACTGATTCCGCCCCTTGATTATTTTACCCCATTTGGCTTTTCCCCTTGAGGTTTGTCAAGGACCCGTATGGTTTTACAGCCTGAGAGACTGGGGACCTGCTTAGTGTGGTGGGGCTAAGTGACTCTGTCTTATTTTCAGCTCGTCTCTGTCCTACCCTTGTCCTACTCAGTTTACTCTTGGTTGAAGTCTCTACTGTGGAGTAATACCAGCCATTAAATCTCCCTGCCCCCCATAAATAACAATTTGGCAAGGAAAATCAAACCTTCCCTCAACCATACACCCAGAGTTCCCCTTTGAATAGTCCCTGGGTGGTCTGCCCAGTTTAAGGGGTCCAAATCAGTTGTTCCAGTCAGCACCCATTTCAGGTGGAAAAGTTTCAAATGTTTCCAGCAGGTAGATAAGATGGGTCTGCTCGCAGCTCAGATATAACTTGCTCCAGTGCTCCGTGAGGGCAAAAGGACCCACCCAGTAGATGGGTTAGTCTTGGAAGGTTAATACCTCCTTCCCCACCTTTCACCCAGTCACTCGTAATCCCCGAGGTCTGTGACCCTATTCACTCCAGTAGGCAACTGCTCCCAGGGTTTAAGACTGCCAAAATCACCTGGAAATCTGTGTCCGGCCAGGGGGCCTTGTGTGTTTAAATTAGGCTGTGAATGTTCTCTTAATTCCAGTCCCTCGCCTTCTGTCGGCTAGATTCCTCTGCAAGTCAGAGGCTGCTAGCATTGATGAGCAACTCAAACCTCAGCAGCAATTAGAATTTACACTCAGGTGTCAATCCCTGCCTCTGCCCACCCACTGCTTTGTCTCAGCATTCCCCTGAGGGTGAGGTGCTCGTTGGGAAATCTAAGTCTGGTCTGGCAGGGGAAGAAATTATGCTTTAAAAATTGTGGCCATTACAGCCTCACACCTTCTGTCCCATCTAAATTCTTCTGCAAGTCAGAGGCTTTCTAGAGCTGGTGAAGAACTCAGCTCTGGGCCTGAAGCAAATTAGAGTTTACACTCAGGTGTCAATTCCAGCCTCTGCCCTCCCACTGCCTTTGTGTCAGCTATTCCCCTGAGGGCTGGTGCTAATGTTCTCTTTACTTATGAAAGTTACCAAGTCTGTTTGGCCTGTGACTGCTGTCTGAAACCTCTGGTTGCTCAGAGAGACAGGGCTCACCTATCTGGAATGGCATCAGTTCGCAGCTCAGGATGCCACTGTTGCTGTATGGCTTCCTCCGAGCCAACTTTCTTCTCCTTACTTCTGTGCCATAGTCAGCACAGAGCAGCACCAGCCCTTTCCCCCTCTACTTCTCTCAAGGAGATGCCCAAGAATCTGGACTCCATAGGTAACAAACCTCCAGACCTCAGGGTGGGGGGTGGCGAATCCTTGGAGTTCAATGTTGCAGGTGGGGAATATATACAGTTTTATACAGTTTTACAGTTTTATGCCTGGCAGGAGGGTGCCGTGGCATGCCAGCAGGGGTAGGAGGTCCAGTTTTTAGGGGGTTTCTCCTTTTGATTGTATTTTTGGGGTTGCAGCTCACCTCAGGAATGTTGAAGTGTGCTCTTCAATCTTCTCTCTTGGCTCCACTCCAAACCATCAGCTCTCTTGCTAAACTTCTGTCCAAGCCATTCACATTTATTGGAGAACTGATACATTTGATAGAGTTCTGTTTGTCTTGTTTTGTGGAGATCTGACACCTAATTTTATTACTTGGGCCATCGTGGAAGCTAGGCTTTGACTTTTTGTTACAAATGTCTTTTGTTTGCTGGTGGTCCATTGTAGTGGCCTGTGGGTGTATGGGTCTGAGTACTTCCTACAAAGCTGGTCTTGTAGTGGCAAATACCCTCAATGTCTCTTCCCACTTATAAAGTTTCAGTTGAGAAGTCTTCTGTCACCCTCATGGTCTGCCCTTGTAGGTCAACTGATACTTACTCCTGGCTGCTTTTATAATTTATTCTTTCAACGTGACTTTGGACATGTTCATCATAATGTGTTTAGGAGAGGCTCTGTTTGTCTTGAGAAGAACTGGAGTTCAATATCCACCTAAAAGGAGTGTGTGAGAATCTTTGGTGATGCTTGAGAAATTTTTGGTTATGATACCCACCAGTAGGTTTTCCATACCTTTGGGTCACTCTTTTTCTCCTTCAGGGATACCTGTAATTTATACATGTGAATGCTTTGTGAAGTCTCATAATTCTTTAAGAGATTGCTCTGCTTTTGCTCTTTTCTTTTATGCCTCTTCAAATGCTTGAGTTAGCCCAAGAGGCTTATCTCCATAACTCCGAGATTCTTTCTTCTCCATGGTTTAATCTGTTGTGATACTTTCTACTGCATTTTTAATCTCTCCAAATGACTTCTTCAATTCCAAAAAGCTCCAATATATCATTTATAATTTCAACATATCTTTCATTCCTTGGGTCAATTTTTACATTTTCTTTTGGTAGTTTTCCACTTTCCCTTCAGGTCCCATCATTATTTTTGGCATCCATACTCTAAATTCCCTTTTTGTCATTTCCATAACTTCATTATAGATGGGATCCTCTGTGGTAGCTACCTTATAATCTTTTGATGGGATTGATTTGTCCTGGTTTTTCAAGTTACCAGAAGTTTCTTGTTGGTTCCTCCATATGTGTTTTCTCTTTGTTTACTTTCTCCTTCTAGTTTCTCTTCTTGCTTTCTCCTTATCCTTAAATTGTCTTATATCTGTGCTTTGTGTTGGAGTTGCTGCAAGCAGCTGATGAGATGTCTGTAGTCCTCCATATTACAGAAGTGTGAGCACATTTTCCAAGGATAGATAACTTGCCTCATTTCCCATTTTGTTTGGCAGGTCAGTAGTTCATCCTTGTGGAGAAGTGTTGGTGTTCAGACAGACTCCAGTAGGAAGCAACAACAGCAGCCAGGAGTGGCACTCATGTCCCCTGTAATGTTTCTTAATGTTGTGGCCCCAACAATCATTGAACCCCCATCTGAAAACTAACAATTAAAAACAGAACCTTGGGCAGACCCTGAGCTACCACATTCCACCTGCATCTTTCTCTAGACAGATTTGGGTTTTTACCTTGTGAATGAAATAAATTAGAATTAGCTTTTGAACACATAGTGGATGGGCACTATCATGTGAGATGTGATACCAAGTGCAAGGCAATACAAGCAAATAATTTTGTCCTAAGAGGACTCTCCCATGCTTCTGAAAATATTCCATGAGGACTTTGGTCATTTGGAGAAAAAAAAATGTCTAAAACAAATACAGCACTTTTTCATCTTAAGATTGCTGAGGACATCAAATTCTGGTGCAGATTGTATACCTGCCACATTTAACAAAGAATTGCCAACATGGGCAACTGCTCTGGAATCCATCAAAATCATTATACACAGCTTTCTTGTCTTTGGAAGTGGAGAGCCTAAGTCTTGAGTGGAGAGTCCTGACAATTTTATTCCTTCTACACCAGCTAATCCTACATGTGATCAGAGAACAGCTACAATCATCTGGATTTTTGATCATATTCTTTCTTAAAGTGTTTGTGCCCTGCTGGACTCCACACCATTACAGGACATGCCTAGGAGCTGAGAATAAAAGTTCAGAAACACTCTTCTCTCCAGATACAGATTCCCACAGACAGCCAAGTTTATTGAACATGTTAGCTACATGGTCTGAGCAAAACAGTCAGCAAGTCCAAAGGTATGTAGCATCCTCCCAGTTGCCTCTGCTTTCTTTCTGTGTCCTTACTGAAAAATCACAGAATGCCTTGACTAATCTATGACCGAATTAGCTGTCAGATTTTTCCAGCAGGCTTAAACCAATAGTAGGGCCCTGAACATTTTCAGGGACTGATAAAGGCATCTAGATTGTTGCCTCAAACACTGAAATAAACTGGCCCCTTCCCTAAGCCAGATTCCTGAAACTCTCATATTAACTCCATACTTGACCCCCTCACTGTGGACATAGTAGGTAGAACACCCCTTTTTCTACAGTCTGGAGGGTTCACTGTAGACCACTGTGTGTGTTAGTTCCACTATTATTTTTAATAAATGCTTTGGACTGATCATTCTCATGTTCAGTGCTTCTTTTGTTGAACTCCAAGGCCCCATCTTGGGACTGTTTAGTGCTCTCCCTTGTGAGAATTCCTTTCTTTCTATTTTTTGGTGATTCCCAACATAGGACTGGGTTTGTTGGGATAGAACAAAAACTGAAAAATAAATCATAAATCTTCACCTCCCTCCACAATTCATAATCCATTCAACCTCCCCACCAAGGACATATGTGCATTTCCATTGTCTGTCTCCACCAGAAGTGAATAGTCCCATGTCCTTCCTATCCCTCCTTGATGGGAGAGGAAGGGCTCTAGGCTTGGCTATGGTGGCTACTAGACCAGGCTCTACAAGGTCTGTAGGTCTCTTGCCAGAAGATGGACATTCCCTGAGATGCTGTTATTCCACTTGGACTACTGGCCAGTGAAGGCCAAGGGAGGCATCCTGGGGCCCAGCAAAGGCAGCATTAAAGCTCTATCACTTTGCAACTGGAAGGGCAAGAGGGCAAATTGTTTATAGATAAAGAAAGTGAGGGCTTGGCACCTGCCTATAGCTCGCTTGTTAGGGCACCATCCCCGTACACCAAGGCTGGAAGGTTCGAACCTGGCCTGGGACTGCTATAAAACAATGACAACTGCAATAACAACCACAACAACAATATTGTTGGTAGATGCCTATCATGGTGCCTGTGGTGGATACCTGTAGTCCCACCTACTTGGGAGGCTGAGGCAAGAGAATCGCTTAAGCCCAGGAGTTAGAGTGACGTGCCTGTGACATCACGGCACTCTACCCCAGGTGACAAAGTGAGACTCTGTCTCAAAAAAAAAAAAAAAATGAAAGAGAGAGAGAGAGACCTAAAGATGGGTCAGGCAGAGCCTCCACAAAGGTGGAGGTTCAGACTTCAGCTTCTGGGTGGCAGGAGATCCCTTTGTAACCCCCTTTCTCCCTCCAAGAGATCCATAATTAGGTGAGGATGAGTCTCTTTCAGGGCTTGGTAGAGTCGATCTTTGCAGGCCTGGTCCCAGGACTTGCTGAAGCTGAACAGCTTTCGCATCTGGTCTGGCCTGGTGACCTCAGCGCGCACCTGCTTGTACTGCTCCTCACTCAACACCTGTCCATACAGCTTGTCTAAGACAGAGTCCACTGATGTCACTCGTGCTACCAGCTGCTCTCAATGCCTGTCCATAAAGTTCAGCAAGGCTGGGGTGTCCCGGGGTGAAGGTGAGGCTGGTAACAAGGAAAGAAGGGCTCCCATCAAAGCTTCCACCTCTAATACCCCAGCTCTTTCCTCTCTCTCGGCTGCATCCCTGGCTTCTTTTTCCTTCTGGAAAGGCATCTGACCATCAGAAAGGCATCTCTGCCCTCCCTCATGTCAGCATCTATTCAGGTATTCTGTCTAAGCAGGGTGTGATAGTGGGGTTCATCATGGGAGCATGTGAGGTCATTGAGTGGAGGCTTCTGGGACCTGTGTAGGCAGTGGCAATAAGGGGTGGAGGGGACTCTGCCCTAGGACATGCACTACTCTCCCAGGCCTGATGCTTGTGAGGTTCTCTATGATGGAGTCCCTCTGTTCTCTCTTCCTTTCTCACCAATTTCAGATAATACACCCCAGAAATACCACTGGCTCCTGAGGTCTCTAAGAGCTGTTACTGACCTATGGCAGCTGGAGGACCCAGAGAAGCTGCAGGTCTGAGATCTCCTGGGGAAAACAGAGAAGAATGAGCACCTGTTACGGTACTAGTTATTAACACACATGACACACCTCCAGGACCCACTCACTCCTGAGACTCTCTGATGCGTGATCTCTTCCTTATGTATATCAGGAAACTGAGGCCCAGGGGCTATGACCATAGACTAATAAAGAGTGAGAAGTCATCTGAGTGTGCAATAGCAATTTCTCCTACACATTACAGACATGGTTTTATCCAGTCTTTACCTGAACTAAAGTCCTGGTGGAGAGCTAACCAAATCCCTTGCTAGTTAAACCTTAAAACTATTCGACATTTTGTTCAAACATTGCAAGTAATTGTTAAAAAGAAACTGTTTGTCATCTCCTTGTTCTGAGTAGAAGTCAAGTAGACTCACACAGACTGAACATTCGTGTTGTGGATTTGTATGTCAGAATCAAGAATCAAGATCAAGCAATCTTACCACATGGAAAGAATGAGGAATTTTAATAGAAAATAAAAAAAGAGAGCGAGAAAGGGAGAGCTGGTTTAGTTATAGCAAATTTCTTCAACATGTGAATGTCATTAAAGTATTTAAATTCCCCATCATAGATGAAGCTCAGTTTAGCTGGATACAGGATCCTGGGTTGAAAGTTATTTTGTTTTAGGAGATTAAAAGTCAATGACCACCCTCTTCTTGCCTGAAAGGTTTCAGCTGAGAGATCTGCAGTCATCCTAATACTCTTCCCCTTGTAGGTTGTGGTTTTCTTATGTCTAACTGCTTTCAGAATTTTCTCTTTCCTCTTAACTTTGGTGAAGTTAATTATGATGTGTCTGGGGGATGTCTTGTTTGGGTTGAGTCGTGCTGGGGTTCTGAAACTATCTGCTATCTGAATTTCAGAATTTCTTGTCATGTCTGTAGAGTTGTCTTTCATAATTTCATGAAGAAGAGCCTCTGTGTTTTGTGAAGCAACTTCATCTCCTTCAGGGATTCCTATAAGGCGAATATTAGTTTTCTTCGAATTGTCCAAGAGTTCTCTGAGAGTGAGATCTGTTTTTGCTCTCCATTTCTTTTGATCTTTGTTCTCCTCGGCTTCTTCAAAAGCTTTGTCTTCAAAATCAGAGATCCTTTCTTCTGCCTGTTGCACTCTGTTACAGAGGGATTCCACCGTGTCTTTCAGATCCTTGAGGGCTGCAACCTCTTGTCTCAGTGTTTCAAAATCTTTGATCATTTTATCTTTGAAATCATTGTGTTCTTGAGACATCATTTGAATAATTTCTTGAGATATCTTTTGAATAATTATTGAGTTCCTAATTCTTTCCTTTCTTCCATTCTGTTAATCTTATTTGATATCCACATTTTGAACTCAATTTCTGACATCCTAGCCATTTGCTTGTGGATGGGGTCTTCAATTGTGTCTGCCCCATTTTCCCTGGGAGGAGTTGATCTACTCTGGTTATTCGAGTTGCCAGAGTTTTTCCGCTGATTCCACCCCATGCTGAGTTGACCTTGTTTGGAGGCCTTATCAGAATCATTCAGTTGGTGTCTTCTTCTGGTTGCCCAGAGATACAGGCAGAGTGTGTCTGTTGTCTTTTCTCAGGTCTTGGGTGCTGGGGCTACCAGGGTGTAGTGGAATGGCAGCAGCTGCATGGGTGTGTGCATGGCTGGATTAGACCTTGTTCAGCATGCTGGGGTGGGGGTGGGGGCAGGAGACCGGTAGCAGCCGGATAAGTTCTAGTTCGGCCCCTCCGGGGCAACTGGTGGAAAAGGGGAACTGTGGTGGCTAGATCAGTCCTAGTTCAGTACCCTGGAGCAGCCAGGGATTGGAGGAATAGCAGCGGTAGCGCAGGCTATGAGTGACCAGATCAGTCCTAGTTCAGCCCTGCCAAAGTTGCTGGGGTTGGGGGAGTGGAGGACTCCTTCACCATCGCCCGTTGGATGCGTGCGGCACTAGCAATCTGATCTGTGCCCTTCCAGCACAGGAGCCCGGAGCGGAGAACTCCTCCACCTTCATCCGTGGGATGTACGTGGATCTAGCAAACAGTTCTGGGCCCGCCCAGAGTGGTAGACCCCTCCACCACCACCTGCAGGGCTCACATGGCTCTGGCAAGCTGTTCTAGGCCCACCAAGCTTGGATGCCTGGAGTGAGGAACTCCTCCCCTGCCTCCTGTGGGGTATGTGTGTCTCTAGCAAGCTGTTTTGGGTCTACCTGAAATGGAAGACTCCTCCGCCACTGCCTGCAGGACACCCGTGGCACTAGGAAGCAGTTCTGAGCCTGCCCAGAGCAGGAGCCTGGGGCAGGGATCTCCTCTGCCGCCTGTGAGGCATGCGACTCTAGAAAGCAGTTTTGGGCCCGCCCCGCTCCATGAGGGCAAAGGGACCCACCTGGCAAATGGGTTAGTCTGGGAAGGTTAATACCTCCTTCCCCACCTTGCACCCAGTCACTCGTAATCCCCTAGATCTGTGACCCTATTCACTCCAGTAGGCCACTGCTCCTGGGGTTTATGACTGGCAAAATCAGCCAGAAATCTGAGTTCGGCAGGGGGCCTTGCGTGTTTAAATTAGGCTTCTGTCCGGCTAGATTTCTCTGCAAGTCCGAGGTTGCATTCAGCTCTGGGCAGCAGACAAATACCAGTTTACACCCAAGTGTCAATTCTAGCCTCTGCCCGTCCACTGCCTTTGACTCAGGTGTAACAGACCTTGAAGGCTGGTGCTTTACTTATGAAAGTTCACTGCTTTTTGCCTGTGGCTGCTGTCCGGAGCCTCTGTTTTCCCAGAGAGATGGGGTTGGAACAGCTTCAGTCTGCAGCTCAGGATGCCACTGTTGCTGTATTGGCGTCCTCTGAGCCGATCTTCCTCTCCGCATACCTGTGCCACAGTCAGCACAGAACAGCACCAGCCCTTTCTCCCTCCACTTCTCCCAAGGAGATGCCCAAGAATCTGGATTCCATACCTCCAAACCTCAGAGTGAGTGGATGGGGACTCCTTGGAGTTCAATATTGCAGGTGAGGAATATATACAGTTTTATATAGTTCAAACCTTCCCTCAAACATACACCTGGGATGCCCCTTTGAATAGTCCTTGGGTGGTCTGCCAGATTTAAGGGGTCCAAATCAGTTGTCCCAGTCAGCACTCATTTCAGTTGGAAGAGTTCAAATATCTTTGGGAGCTAGATAAGAGGGATCTGCTTGCAGTTCAGATATAACTTGCTCCAGTGCTCTGTGAGGTCAAAGGGACCCACCTGGCAAATGGGTTAGTCTGGGAAGGTTAATACCTCCTTCCCCACCTTGCATCCAGTCACTCATAATCTCCCAGGTCTGTGACCCTATTCACTCCAGTAGGCCACTGCTCCCGGGGTTTATGACTGGCAAAATCAGCCAGAAATCTGAGTTCAGCAGGGGGCCCTTGTGTGTTTAAATTAGGCTTCTGTCCAGCTAGATTTCTCTGCAAGTCCTTGCATTCAGCTCTGGGCAGCAGACAAATAGCAATTTACACTCAGGTGTCAATTCTAGCCTCTGCCCGCCCACTGCCTTTGGCTCAGGGGGATTACACCCTGAAGGCTGGTGCTTTACTTATGAAAGTTATCTACGTTTTGCCTGTGGCTGCTATCTGGAGCCTCTGTTTGTCCAGAGAGACGGGGCTAGAATAGCATCAGTTTGCAGCTCAGGATGACACTGTTGCTGTATTGGTGTCCCCTGAGCCGATTTTCTTCCTCTCATGCCTGTACTACAGTCAGCACAGAACAGCACCAGCCCTTTCCCCTCCATTTCTCTCAAGGAGATGCCCAGGAATCTGGATTCCATAGGTAACAAACCTCCAGACCTCAGAGTGTGTGGGTGGAGACTCCTCGGAGTTCAATGTTGCAGGTGGGGAATATATACAGTTTTATACAGTTTTACAGTTTTATACCTGGCCGGAGGGTGCCGTGGCATGCTAGCAGGGGCAGGAGGTCCAGTTTTTAGGGAGTCTCTCCCACGGGATAGAGTGGGAGGAAGTTTGAACTCTGCTCGCTTGTTTGCATGGAGTAAACTGGTTGTATTTTGGGGGTTGCAGCTCGCCTCAGGAAGGTTGAAGTGCGCTCTTCAATCTTCTCTCTTGGCTCTGCTCCAAACCATCAGCCAACTTGTTAAACTTCTGTCCCTCAAGCCTCCTTCCAGATGGGAGCTTCTGCAAAAAGCTGGCTGCAGTCCACCATCTTGGCTCCACCCCACTGGAATTCCTTTTGATGTTTTTCCACTTTCCCTTTAATTGCTTTCATTGTTTTTGTCATCCATACACTTGAATTTCCTTTTTGTGATTTCTATAACTTCTTTATAGGTGGGATCCTCTGTGGTAGCTGACTTATGATCTCTTGAGGGGGTTGATTTGTTCCAGTTTTTCAAGTTGCCAGATTTTTTTTGTTGGTTCCTCCAATATGTGTTTTCTTTATATTCACTTTCTTTCTTCTCCTATTTTCTCCTCTTGTTTCCTCCTTATTCTTAATTTTTCTTCTATCTGTACTTGGTGTTGGAGTGGCTTAAAGCAGCTGATGAGATGTCTGTAGTCCTCTATCTTGGAAAAATGTGAGCACATATCCCATTTTGCTTGGAAGTTCAGTGGGTCACTCTTGTGGAGAAGTGTTGGTGCTCAAATGGGGTCCAGCAGGAAGTGACAAAGGTGGCCAGGTGTGGCCGTCAGTTCTCCTGCAATGATTCTAAATATTGTGGCCCTAAGAATCACTGAATCCCCAAATGAAAGTGAAAAATTAGAGGAAAGCACTGAGGGCAAACCCTGAGCTACCACACTCCACGTGCAGGTTTTTCTAGATAGATTTGGGTTTTTACCTTGCAAATGAAATAAAATAGAATCAACTTTTGAACTGATAGTGGATGGGCACTAATTTGTGAGATGTGATACCAAGTGCAAGGCAATATAAGCAAATAGTTTAGTCCCAGGAGGACTCTCCCATGCTTCTGAGACTGTGGTCATTTGGAGGAAAAAAAAATGTCTAAAACAAATACAGCACTTTTCCCTCTTATCATGGCTGAGGACATCAAATTCTGATGCAAATCATACACCTGTCACATTTAGCAAAGAACTGCCAACATGGGCAGCAGATCTGGAATCCATCAAAATCAGCAACTTATGGACAACTTTCTTGCCTTTGGAAGCAGAGAGCCTAAATCCTGAGTGCAGAGTCCTGACAATCAATTTTATTTCTTCTACATAGGCGAATCCTACATGGGATCAGAGAGCAGCAATGATCACCTGGATCTTAGATCATGTTCTTTCTCAAAGTGTTTGTGTGCTGCTGGACTCTACACCATTATAGGACATGTCCAGGAGCTTGGAACAAAAGCTCAGAAACACTCTTCTCTCCAGACACAGATTCCTACAGCCAGCCAAGTTTATTGAACATGTTAGCAACAAGGCCTGAGTAAAAAAGTCAAAGAGTCCACAAGGTATGCAGCATCCTCCCAGTTGACCCTGCTTTCTTTCTGCCTGATTTAAAAATCACAGAATGCCTTGAGTACTCTGTGACCCAGCCAGTTGCAAGTTTTTCCGAGGAGGCTTAAATCAACAGTAGGGCCTGAACATTTTCAGGGACTGATAAAGGCATCTAGCTTCTTGCCCCAAACACTGAAAAAAATGGCCCTTTCCCTGAGCCAAATTCCTTCAGCACTTATATTAACTTCTTACCTGACCCCCTCACTGTGGACATAGGTAGGTAGAACACCCATTTTCCTACAGTCTGGAGGGTTCACTGCAGCCCATTGTGTGTGTAAGTTCCACTATTATTATTAATAAATGCTTTGGACTGATCATTCTCATGTTCAGTGCTTCTTTTGTTGAACTCCAAGGCCCCATCTTGGGACTGTTTGGTGCTCTCCCTTGTGAGAATTCCCTTATTTGTGTTTTTGGTGATTCCTCAACATAGGACTCAGTTTGTCTGGATAGAAGAACAACTGAAAAATAAATCATCAATCTTCACCCCCCCCCCCACAATTCATAACGCAATCAACCTCCCTTCCCCTAAATGTATGTGTGTATTTCCACTGTCTGTCTCCAGTCAGAAGTGAACAGTTCCACATCCTTCCTATTCCTCCTTGCATCTTGATGGGAGTGGGAGGACTCTAGGCTTGGCTG